TCCTTTATTTTGGTTTCCTCCTTTAAATTGGGATAAAAAATAGTCCCTAATCCATAGGGCTACATACTGTAAGGATGGGTGCTGAAGGGCTCAGCACAGCACCTGGCCCAGGGTCAGTGCTCAGCAAATATTGACCATTCTGGAAAGGCAGAGGTGGCCACAGGCTCTCTGCAGGGTGGGGGTGAGGGAAGAGCCTCCCGGGGCTTACACTCTTGAGAGAGAGACAAGGAAACAGATGGATAAACAAAACAGGAGTGCTACACATGAAGCCAAAGGAGATCTGTGATGTGGGGTCATGGTGGTGCTGGGGCTACTGTACATAAGTCCATCAGGAAAGGCCCCTCTGGGAAGAGAGGAGGGACAAAAGCTGCATGAAAAACCACATGAAGAATGTCCCAGGTGCAGGGCCTAGCAAGTGCAAAGGCCCACAGTGGGGGAGGGTCTGGAATGTTCTAGAACCAGCTAGGGCCAGTGTTAGCTGGGGTAGAGTGAGCCATAGGGAAAGTGGGCATGATGCAGTGGGAGGGTAGCACCTCAGAGGCCACAGGGAGGTGGTAAAGAGTTGTCAGCAGGGACAGTGTGAGCTGCTGAGGGCGAGGACATCAGCACAGGGAGCAGGGGACCTGCAAAGCCCTGCAGTGTGGGGCGATACCAAGTGCGTGGACACCCTGTTCCTGGAGCTGCCACTGTGGAAGCTCATGGTATCAAAAGCTGGGGTGGGGCCTTGCAAGTCATGTCACCTAACTTCCCTCCGTGTTGCGGAGTAGGTAGGACCTACTTTGTGTCCCTGGTAGGAGACCGAGGTTCATAGCTGCAGGCTTCCCCAGCACGTGGCCGTGTTTGCTGGCTCCCTGCCCCCCAGCCTGCTCATCTGTCCCCTCGCAGTGTCTTGAGCCAGTGTGACAGACTCCAGTGCAGTTGCTGAGTCTGAGCTGTAGGTCAGCGTTTCCATCCCAGGCCACACGAGGACAATTCCACGAGGAACGCGTCCCTCGGGCCTCGCTGCAGAGGGACACGTGGGCCATTTCACCCTCTCTGGACGAGAGTAAACAGGCAGTAGCACTTGAGAACTCTAGAGTTCAAAGTATGACTGGCTGTGTTTCTGTTTAACTTCAGTGACATTTGGATGACAATAAAAAGCAGTAGGGTTTTTTTAGGCAAAAATATTCTTTGTGTTCCTGTACTCAGTTACGTCTTTAAACTCTTGTGATGAATTTACTGCTACTCACCCCCAGATTACTCTGCCCACCAGCTTGCGGACAGTCGTCTACCAGAAGCTCATCCTGTCTAATCCCCGGCTTTGCTGATGGGTTTCCAGGGCTCTCCCACACGAGACGGATTTTCTCCCTGGACATCCATCTAAACCAGCTTCCTCAGCCTCTCAGAAGCCTTCAAATGATGGCTCTTGGCTCTGCCAACTTTGGCAGGCTTGTTCCACTTGACATGAAGTACGCCTTGTACATTCACAGTGAGGATCCAGCACTGTGAAGCCCTGATCTACTAAATTATTAATAAAATATGAGACAGACAAAACTATAAGTGAATAGTAAATATTGTAAGTAATAATAATTTACGTTCAATTTTTCTGCTCCTTTCTCGGTGCTCGTGAAGCTAGCCAGGTGTCCTCGGGACCCCCGAGGCCATCATGGGACCTGCTGCAGCCAGGCGACAGGCTCTGTGCATCCTTCCGAGCATCGCCTGTGCATCCTTGTACCAGTTCTTCTGCAGTGGTGCCCCATGTCCCCTCTCTGTCCTCATCTCTCCAGCCCATCCCTTTCTGATGACCCACTCCCTTCAAGTCCCCATCCTTGGCTTCACATCCCGTCTCTCTGCTTCCAGAACCACCCTCTGGAAAGATTCTTCCACCTTCCCTGCCCCCCTCTCCCTGTCCTGATCCAGGTCTAGGTCGCCGGCCTCCTTCACCTTGCTGGAGCTCTGTGTTGTGTCTTCAGACCTCTGTCACCTCCCCTGCCTGCCCTCCCACCCCCTGCTTCTCCTGCCCAGGGGGGCTGTGGCAGCTCAACGGAGGGGAGCTTAGAAGATGGAGTGGAGGGGGTTGCGGGGCAAAAGCCACCAGGGAGCGTAATTTGTGTCCTCCTGAGCAGAGGAAGACGTGAGCCGCACAGGGGAATCCGTGTGCCTTTGTCAGTGAGTGTGAAAGATTGTCTGTGCTTTAAGTGTCTGGCACACTCTGCTCAAACACTTGCTGTTAAGTAGAATGCAACTCAGAACCTCTGTAAGGGTCTCACTGATTTAAACCAGGCCTATCCTAAATATATCGACATCCATATAAAACAGGGAGATTACCCTCAGTTCTGAACTTGCCCGGGAGAGCGTCTGAAGAAATCTGACTTTGTAAGGAAAGTTCTCATCTGTTATGTTTGCAGCACTCCCACTTCTGTTCCTTCCCTGCCATATTTATCAGAACTCTGGTCGTAAAACCCAAGTCAAACCAGCTAAAGTGAAGAGAGGGATTTATCGACGAGTAGAGGAGGAGCGAGCCCCAGGGGCCCTGCACACCGTCCCCTTTTGGCCCGTTGTCACTGCAGGGTGATGGCTTTGTTCTTCCTAACTAGGGTCATACTTAATTAAGAAACGGACCAAGCTGGAGGGAGCTGTGTGGCCACATCCTCAGGGCCTTAAGGACAAATAGGAATGGCCTTATCCCCAGAAGTCCCAGCTCGAAGCATGCTGTAGGGAGGATGTGTGATTGGCTTAGCTCGGGTCATGTGTTCGTCTCCAGACCAGGAGTGGAGTGACCCCTGCACAACCAAATGGTGTGAAAAGCATCCTCTGAAGACGGGGAGAGAAGACAGCACCATCACTGTCCACTGCGCCTCCTGCAAAGTTCAGTATTTAAAACAACCCTTGGCTCCCTATTTACAACCCTTCCCTGTCTTGCACTAACCTGGCTCCCCAGATTCCAGACCCTTCAGGCCTCCCGACCTTGCCATCCTCTGCCCGGAGTTCCCTTCTCCACCCACCTGCTCCTGCACCTGGCCAACTCCTGCTCCGTCTGTTAGGGCCAGCGGTGTCAGCTCCTCTGGAAAGCCTCCCCCTTCCACTACTTTCTACCTGCTGTGCGTCTGTTCACCCAGTAACACCGACTCTGCAACAGCCCTGCCCATACAGGATTGTGTTTTATCTGTCACCCACCAGGCTGCAGTGTCCTCAAGAGCAGGGGCTGGTCTTATTTATCTTTATTTCCCAGCAGCTAGCACCTAGCAGATAGACAGGAAATGCTTCCCGCGGTTATGTGGAACAGAATAAAATAGTGCACGTTATGTGAGCCATTACAAAATAACAAAATCTAAATAATCCATTCTTTGCTATCTTCAAGGAAGATCTAATAGACTGCATACAGTTTGGGTCTGGGCAAACAAGGGGCTTTCTCCGCTTTCAATTTTTCTTAGAAATTTAATATTTCACTGTATCCAAAATCATTTTGGGAGAAAATATTTGCAAAATATACATCTGACAAAGGATTAATATCCAGAATATACAAGGAACTCAAACAACTTTACAAGAAAAAAACAAGCAACCCAA